GTGGAGTATGTACATACAAAAGTACTTTCTATGTACCAAGTCTTTTGAAAGCTTTGTATATTAGGTGTTGCTTGTGTCAGGGTATTATTATGTTCTAGTGTACGAGTCCTACTCATACCATGGTACTATAATGTGCCAAAAGTACTATCATGTACAAAGTCTTTTTTGACGCTATCGTGTGTCGGGGTAATGAAGCGTACGAAAGTACTTTATTAGTACCCCCCATACTTTTTATTTAGAAGTGCTTTGTGTCTTAGGTGTTGCTTGTGTCAAGGTATTATTATGTTCTAGGGTACGAGTCCTACTCATACCATGGTACTATCATGTACAAAGTCTTTTTTTGATGTTATCGTGTGTCGGGGTAAGGGAGCGTACAGAAGTACTTTATTAGTATCCCCCCCCCCCCATACTTTTTATTTAGAAGAGCTTTGGAGTCATCGTTTCTTTTATAAAGTGATCGGTTGAGCTTCATGTGTCAGCGTTTCCTTTCACGAAGTAATTGAGGGAACTTCATATACTACCTAATAGAGTGTGTCGGTAATAGACCACTACCAGGTATGTCTTATGTTTTATTGTCGAATAGGGTAAGTCTAAGGGTAAAATACATCACGGTGTCAGAGCACTGCTAGACAAAGTTTGATGTTGTATATTGTCGGATAGGGTAGGTCTAGGGTTAAAATACCTCACAATTTCTGAACATTGCTAGGAAAAGTTTGATGTTGTATTATCGGATAGGGTGAGTCTGGGGGTAAAATACCTCACGGTGTCAGACCACTCCTAGGCATAGTTATCTAGATAGCCATCCCTAACTTAATTGTCATGTTGTTTTTACGAATGGAGGTTCGTGGTGAAACTTGTTTCATTCCCCTCATTTGATGTATTTATTGATCCACGTTTGCTACCTGGGAATTATCGAAGCAACATCGTCAGTTTGTTGTTCATAATGATCCTTTAGTCTAGATCTTGTAAGATTGTTGTATAGGATCTGTACATGGGAATCGACGGGATGGGATGAATTGTTTTAGAGATATGATATATCTGTGCTAATGATAATAGTTGTATTTGCATGTTTAAGATATACATTATTATCACATTGTTGGATTGAAATCCCTATGTACTCACCAAGTTTCCCAACCTGACCCTCTTAGTTTATTGTATTACAGGTGACTATATGAAAGATACATTATGTTGAGAGATTCAAGGAGTATTAGGCCACTAGTTTAATTACTATAAGATGCTTATGTTTCTGTATTGACGATGACATCCCAATGTTTTAATATTTTGGTGTAATTATTATTAATATTGAGATAGGCTGACTTATATTTACTCACCGAGACTGGAGGTGTAAGGTGCACACTTGAAGTGGTAAATATGAACTCTAGAATACGAGAGTCCAGGGGTACTGCCCCTAGGTACAGATTTCCGAAGGGTAATGCCCCTGGCGAGCTCTAGGGGCAGTGCCCTCGCGAGGTCCAAAGGACAAAGCCCCTTGCAAGGTCCAAAGGACAAAGCCCATGGCGGTGGTCTACTGAATTTCTATAACAAGAAAGAGCCCAAACATACATTTCCCACCAAAAATAGGTTGTGACTATTGGATTATGTGTATAAGGTCTTAACTAAATTGGTATAATCTTAGTGGATAAAAGTAACATTTTTGGGTTGCTCTCATAACCAGAAGACTGTCTTTGCAGTTAGACAACTGAAGATTGTAGTCTTGAGCTCATCAGTGACATCATTATGATGTAAGAATCGGTTATGTCTTATAACCATCTTTCTAACCACTTGTTTTTGCACCATTCTATATATAACCAACTTCCAACTATCATCTTTCTTGTATAAAAGGAAGTTGAATGCTCCAGAAAATGATTAATCCTTTTTATACCTAAAATTGATCATTTGTTCTCATTTGTCTCATCAAAAACGCAAAACAACAAGGTACTTTTTATGCTTCAAATTTGAAAGTGGTCTAACTTCTAAATTGTCTATCTTGGATTATCTCAAATTAGATTTCATGATAGCCTAGATTATAGGGTCGAAATCATAAATTTTAGAAAGTGATTGTAATCACGATTCTAGAACTATCGAAGTTTATATTGATATTCTTAAGTTTTAAAATTTATAGTTTGTTTATGTATGAAGCTTGATTACTCTAATCAATTGAATAACGTTAAACTTATATGTTTGTATTAATTGGGTTTGTATTAGTCGAGATGTTCTTAATATTACATATTTATTATGAATTTCAATAACTCAATCGCTCCTCCGGAAAACTAAGGGTTTTGCTATATAACACAACCTTCTATATATTCTACATACTATGTATAAAACTCGCATATTATTATTTCTATTGGTCTTTGGATCTTCACAAATAAGAACAATAAAATGCATCACAAACTATTTACTAATTTTTTTCATACGACGCTAGATAGCTCTTGCTACATTATCCCATAACTATTAACTAAATAAAATTTGTTGCAAAGACTGATATGGTCAGATACTTTTTCTAATAAAACTAATTCGTGCAGTGTGACACAGACATAAGTTTTATTACAAAACCACACTGTTTTTAGTATGTACTAAGATTTAAATTACAACATTAACCACTTGGGTTGTGGTGACTTGGTAAGACATGTGGAAGATATGGTGGATAACTTATTGATCCATGTTCAAATCCTGACACCACTCAGCCCTTGTGGCCATGGAGGTTCGCCTGCAGTGACTCCAGGGCATGAAGCAAAGCTTTATGTTTGCAGCGGGAGATTAATCGGTGCGCGAAAGCTGGCCCGGAAACCCTCATTAGGGAAGATCCCTTTCCGAAAAAAAGTTATATATATTATATCCAAAAGTGTCACTAACTTTGGGTATAAAAGGTCCTTCAATTTCGAAAAAAAATAATAATAAATAAATAAAAAAATACTTTGGGTATAAAAGTTGAACATAAGTGCACTAATAAATTCACTATATATAAATCATTAGTTTAACCAACATTAACACCTTCAAAATAAGCATGCCAAAAATATTCATTGATTTTGCATATACGAAAATGTAATTTCTCTGGTAAATAAATGCAAGGCTAGGCTACAAGATTAGATCTTTGAGTGCAAATGCTCGATTCTATTCAGTTGTGTGTTGAACTGCTGAACAAGAATATATCCACCTATCTTCAAAGATAGAATATAGGGCTAGAGAAATAGCACCATACCTCGCTTACATTTATTTAACTTTTTTCAAAATTAAGACACGGATTTTGAAAAACCTACCCAATTAATTTTTTTTTTTTTAATTTTCTTATCAGCACATTATAGTTTTGACAAATCACTATGCCTACTATAGCAGTGAAAATTGTTTTGTTTTTAGCATATATAGCAGGATAAATCTCTCGAAGTACAATATTGGTGTAGTAGTAGGAAGACTTACTTGTGAACAACAGAATAGGATGATAGATGGTTTATAAGATTTGTATGCAGAAATAAAAAGCATAACTATAATGAAATCATCCTTTAACTTTTGGTGCAGATACATTACACAAATATCAATCTGATTCTCTAGGGGGTGGTGGCATCAATAGGAGGCGATCTTGATCTTGATCCTCCTCCTCCTGGATTTGGGCTGCTGCAGCTGCAGTGCGTCTTTGTTCTTGAGCCAAGAGTGCATGCAAGTCGCTCCCATTTGCTAAACTGTTAAACTCAACTGCCTTTGAAGGCATTGTGGGATAGCGTCTTTGACAAAAAGTCATCAATCTTTTAACAGACTGTAAGTACTTTCGTGTAGTTTCATCATTCATGACATGGGCTACACTGTTGGTGTAGATCTTTTCACGAGCTGAACGTTCATGAATACCAACCATAGTCACTCCAATTGGCCATGGTGCGTTCCCAATTGCCATTCTGATGTAATGATCCATTGCTGCTAAATACTCTCGTTCCATGCAGCACTTCACCACCAACATCAGTGCTTGCCTAATGTCATCTGGCAAAACCTATCAATCAACATAGATGATGATTGATTAAATGAAAATGTTTGAATGAAATTGGAAGTTGTTAAACTTAGATGATAGATGATGTCTGCTTACCTTCTTCCTGCAAAACTTGAACAGAGGATTCAGGTATCTCGCACACTGTTTGAAAGTAGCAAAGGTTGATTTCCCTTTGGCAGTTCTCTTCTCCGTTTCAGTCATCTCATCCAACTCCTGGTTCCACTCGATTAACAGCTTCTTGAAAAACACAAGAATCTTATCCTCATCACACAGATCTGCAAAATTTGCTTTCATTCGTTTGAAATCCTTATCTTGGTCCATACCTGAAGAACCACCATCTCCGCTAACATCATCTTCACCTCCCCCTCCATCTTTATCCTCCGTCGACTCATCTGTGGTCTTCCTTTTCCGATCACTCGATAGACCGGACTTTTGCCTCTTCTTCAGTTCAACTATATCACGCAGAAAATCGTTTGTTTGCCCCTCCGTCATATCACTATCATCCAGCTCAAACAGCCCTGCCTTCAACACATACTTCAATCGATCCAACCGATCATCGTCACTTTCCCCAAACAATGTAACTGGCTGTTTCAAGAACCGGAGCCGACGAATAACCTCTTGTTTCGGTAGATTTAGAGCGTCAATCTTTTGTTCGTCACTTATTGGGGTTTTCGAAGACGAACCGACTGCGGATTCAGGTTTGGAATTCGAAGAGTCGAGTTTATAGTTAGGGTTAGAGGAAGAATTAGGACCAGAGGAGTTAGAATTGTTTTGATTCTGATCTTGACGGAGGCGTTTGGCCTCGGCGTCACGTTTCTCTTCCTCACGAAGCTTTTGAATTCGTCTCTGTTCGATCTCTGAACGCTTGAATACCTTCCGTCCGCCGGTCTCTTCCGAGAGACTTTGCCTTTTCTTTAGCAACTCTTGCTTCAGGATATCCATGGCGATCTGATGCTAGGGTTTCTAGGCTCGCGTCGGTGTTAAAGACGAGACATAGATTTTCGATTGGAAAACAGGAAAAGTATAAGGTGTAAAAAAAATTTAAAAATATAAAAATAGAAGACAGAAATTGAATAAATGGTCCTTGTACTTGGCAAAGAATACCACTGTAAGTTCGTTTTGTAAACTTTTGACATGTATTGTCCTCGAGAGTTGAAACATTGCACCGCAGATCCTTATCGTTAACATTGTTAGAAAATAAAAATAAAAGTTAAATGCTTATAAAATTACCAACTTAACATTTTTATTTTTTTAATATGATTTTACAGTTAAACATAAAAATAAGAAATAAAGTGTGCGTCTCTCTGAGCATGCCACTGTTATTATAACCTTTATCCACCTCCAACTTCGCCCATATCTCCACCACCTTCATCTCCGCCAGAAATCGTTCTGTAACATCCCGAGTTCAGGTATACATTGAAACCCTTGATCTTTTGAACACTTGTCCATTTTAGCCCTTGATATTTGCATATTTAGTCTTAAATTAAGTATAAATTTTTATCATTTATTAACTAATTTATTGCATATCATGAACAAAAGATACTTAAAAGTGTTTGAATTGTGTTTTCAGTCCAAAAGCAAAGCTTTGGAGTCAAAGGAAGCAGGAGAAGCGGTTAGGAGCTCGGGAGTTGAACAAGGGAGAAAAAATGTTAACAACATAAGGTATTCGGCGAGTAGGGTCGACTACTCGGCGAGTCGGTTCGAATCTATATATACAGCTTTCCAGATCGACATAAAAAATTATGGAACCCTTGGGGAGAAGCAAGCTGCGAATCAGAGTCAGGAAAGATCTGGAGAACGAAGATATAACCCTAAAACCAATTCCGAAGGAGATTTGAGGCAAACCTACATCATTCTTACTTTAATCTATTGTTCTTCATTATGTTTAGACTTTTAGATTTCGTTTTTATGTTGTTAATCACCTCAATCATGAGCTAAAACCTTTAAACTTCTGTTTGGGTATGGATTGATTATTTATGGTAGGATTGATTTAATATTGATGATTTTGTTGATTCTAGCTTGTTAAAGAACCACATGAGTGATTGAAAACTATTTTTCTGTTATTAGGAAGTTAATTAAGCTGTATGAACATCTCTTAATTGCTACCTCATATAATTTATGTGACCACTTTGTTATATGACTAGGATTAGCGACTGTGAAACTAAAATTAATGGGAAAATAGGTAAATTCATGTGTGAGCTTGTGTGATGACCATCAACAAGAGGTTAACTAAAGGACCAAATTAGTTAGTTATTACAAGTCTAAATTAACTCGAATAAATAACCTAGTGAATTAAATTAAATTAGATTACTGATCACTGTTTGAGTTAGTTTGTTCTATAGGGATTAGTGCAGCGAACGCGAAGCTAATCACTTGAATCGGTAGCCAATAGAAGAATTAATCCATTGCACTATTACCATAATATCAACCGTAGGATCAATTGAGTTGAACTAAACATAAGTCCCCTTCGTCATTGAATTTAGTTGAATCTTTGCTTTTCTAGTTCTTAGTTTAAGTAATAGTTAGTAAGTTTCTAGTCTTGTAAAACTAGAGAAAAACCCATTTTATTATTTAAACTTAGATAAAATTAGTTCTTAGTTTTAATTTACCGTTCCATGTGTGCGATACCCTACTTAGTTAGCTTTATCACAATTGATATGTCCACTGCATTTGTGTGTTTATTTTATAATTAAAAGTAGGTTTAAAACTAGTTCGTTTCACACACATCAAGTTTTTGGCGCCGTTGCCGGGGAACGGTTCTAAATTAGCACTAATTTCTATTTTTATCGATCCTTTGTGTGTGATTTATCTTACACAAAGTTAATTCTTAGGTAATTTAGTAGTTAGTATAGGTTTTAATAAAAATCCATTTTAATAAGTTAATTAGAAAAAAAAAATTTTTTGGTCTTGAACTCGCCGAGTGCACTCGTGACAACTCGACGAGTCCATCGCTGTTCGCAGTTTTAGTTTCCATTTTATTTTTGTTCTTTTTACGCGTTTTTCGTATTTTATTTGCAGTTGTTTCATGACCCGAGGAGTTGATACACCTTTGGTTCCTCCACTAGAAGACCCGGAGTCCGCCCTAAGGAAGAACAAAGGAAAATCCGTTGGAGAGTCCGCTTCTTCAAGGAACTCGCCACTAAATAACTTAAAGTTCGTTTTCAGCAAAAAGAAAAGCAGCAAATCAGGAGCTTCCAACACCTCTATAGCGATAGAAGACCCGATTAAAGAGGACACCGAGTACGAAACCGAAGGAGAAGAAGATCCCACTTTCGGGCACGAATCCAACTTTGACGACGAATTAGCCATTGTCATGGCTAACATCGATGAAATCCCCATGGGGGAATGGAAGAAGAGGATGTGTGACGACACCGACCTGGGACTTGTGCAACCCGCAATTCCCGCTACTGCTACTTTCGAACTAAAGGGCCACATACTCGCTCAACTTAAGGAGATTCCTTTCTATGGAAAAGACCATGAAGATGCTTACAAGCATTTGGATGAAGTCAATGATGTAGCGGATTACTTTAATGTTCCAAATGTGCCTTGCGAGACCCAGCTACTACGCATGCTCCCAGTTACATTCAAAGGTGCTGCAAAAGACTGGCTCAAGTCACTCCCTCCCGGATCAGTCACCACATGGGCCAAGATGAAAGAAGAATTTATTGATCACTTCTGCCCACCTTCCAAAATAGCCAAGTTGAAGAAGGCCATTGCTAACTTTGAACAACAAGTTGGAGAGTCACTATATGAAGCTTGGGAGAGGTACAAGAGCCTGCTAACGAATTTCCCACACCATGACCTTAATAGCCAATAAGAAGTCTCCATATTCTATGACGGAGTCAATGTCACCACAAGGCAGTTACTTGATTCGCAAGGCCCGCTCACAAGAAAGCCACCCCCGGAAATCAAAGAATTAATTGAAGAGTTCTCTAAACATTCTAGGGAATACCACAACCCATGAAATGAAGTAGGCAGGGGGTAGTGAACACGGTTAACGATAGCATGGCGGTAATGATGGCCAAACTAGACACTTTAGACAGAAGAATGACGAAAATGGATCAAACAATCCACGCTATCCGGGTGGGATGTGAAAATTGCAGGGGACCGCACCTAACTAAAGATTGTGATTTGGATGAGAATGGAAACAAAAAGGCACAAGTTTTATATTCAAGTGAGGACAAATACGACGAGAATTGGCGGAAACCAAAGAAGGAATGGCTCTCGTACGAAGAATACAAAAAGGCAAAGGAAGAGAAATACAAGCAAAAAGAGAGGGGTTTCTATCAAAAGGAAGAACCGGTTATGGAAAAAAGAATCGATTTAGAAGAAATGCTCACAAGATCTATAACCGCGTCCGAGAAAAGGCACAATGATCATGATGCTGCAATACATGAGACCAGGAATATACTTAGGAATAAGCAAGCATCTATTCTTAACATTGAGAAACAGCTAGGTCAACTTGCACATCAAGTGAACGAGAGAAGACCGGGTGAACTTCCAAGTAAAACCGAGAATAATACAAGAATGGAGAATGTGAATGTTATAACCTCTAGCTATGGAAAAAATTTCACTCCTATTACCACTGCACAGAAGGTCTCAACTAAGGTGCATGCAGAAAAGATAGACGGGTCGAGTTGACTAAACCCGACTAGACTCACCGAATCCCTCTAATGGACTCGCCGAGTCCATGCCCTGATCACAAATCCGCTGTTTCCTTAAAGCCTTACAACCCTCCTTTGCCATTCCCAATCCGATCCATACCTGATGAAAAGGTCAAGGCATACAGAGCTTTCATGGAACATGTTAAAGCCCTTCAAGTCAACATTCCATTTATTGAAACAATGCTTCAAACACCCAAATATTTAAACTTGCTTAAGGGACTTTTTGCTGCTAGGAAAGATATGGTGGAAGTGGCGGAATTAGTATTGAATGAACTACTAGAAAAGAAGGGCGGTTCGGGAAGCATCTCGATTCCTTGCCAATTTGGAAATATACTTGCCACTCAAGCATTGACCAATTTGGGTGCAAGTATAAACTTAATGCCTTCAAGAAGCTGAATTTACCGGAGCCAAGGTTTATTAATATGAAGATCCATTTGGCGGACAAGACGATCATTCGTCCAAGAGGTGTTTGTGAAGATCTTCTAATAAAAGTGGACAAATTTGTATTCCCCGTGGACTTTGTAGTGCTTGATATGGAAGAAGACCCCAAAATTCCAATTATTTTGGGGAGACCATTTTTGAATACCGCAAGTGCATTAATAGATGTATGCGAGTCCACACTAACATTAAGGGTAGGAGATGAGTCAACCGTTTTTAAAGCTATACCCGAAAATAAGCAAGAAGAAGCAAGAAAAATAAGATGTTTCCTTTATTGAATTGGATGATGAAATAGTTCAAAAAGAACTTGCACTCTTACAAAAAGAAGATCCAAGTAAGTTTTTGCTATCGTCTGAAGAAACTTTGAGGCTGATAAAGACTTAGAAGAAATGGAGAGGTTGCTTGGGGGAGCTGATCAAGAAGAAACAAAGGATTTTATGGAATACGCTCTGACTCGCTGAGTCGCCTTAACAGACTCGACGAGTCCCGTCGTGAAGTGCAGAAAAGAAGACAACCTTGATGTGCTTATTGCCAGCTCCTTGTATGCACTTGACATGAAGATTTGTCCTAATACTTTCGAAGGTCCAACAGCAGATGGCGGAGTTTTTGAAAAAACATTATGACTTCCAAAATGATCAAATAGCTTACCTTAATTCAATTATACAAGAAGATGAGGGAATTCAACTTGACGAGGAGGCAAGCTTGGGAGAAAAGGAGAATGAAAAGGCATGGAATGGCAATACTAATAACTCTTCCACAAATAGAGTGATCAAGTTAACCAAACCTCGAGCCCGAGTGTTTTCTACATATGAATTCATTAAGTTTGAAGAAAAGGAAGTT